AATACAGAAGAGAAACAATTGGAAAAAAATGTTAGGGACCACCCCCTTGACCTCTGCCACCAAATTCTTGTTTGCTCTCTCCAGTCGCTTGCTCCCCGGGAGCTTGGCTACTTATGTCCCAGAAGCCCAAGACCAACTGGGTCAGCTTGCTCTGCTGTGCTCGGAGTCAGCAACCAGAGTGAGATGAAAGGATGTTTGCAAACTGAGAGCTGAAAGAATGTTTACAAAGTGCTTAAATTAGCATCATTTCACATTTGAATGCAAAAATTCAGACTTAGGACTTGTGATTGTATTTATACAGTTTGTACCTAAAAAGTAAAGTGGCTTGGATTTGTTGGCACGTACTATTTTTGTTTCAGCAGACTTCAAATATGATATCTTATTACTAATACCATTGCATGCCAGCTTTCATTTCATTTATAACTTTTATATTCCATATATCTCCAAGGATCTGAAAATAGCATATGTTTCTCTCCCCAGTTTATCTTCACAACCATCCTGACAGATAGGTTGGGGTTCAAATATGGAATGGCCTAAGGACATTCACTGTACTTCACAGTTGACTAGGGATTTGATTTTGGTTTCTTCCATCCCGGTCCCACATTTTTATTACTACACACTACAATGCCATTCATTTTACATTTATACAGTCATTTAAAGCACATCTGATAATATTCAGCACGAACATTCACTGATAATTGTGGATAATTTAAAAATTTATAATTTATTTGATTTTAAAAATTTAAGGCTTTTATAATTTTGAATTGTTTCATATTGAAAAATGCATGTTTGTGATTTTGTAAGCTACTTAGGGACTTTTAAAGTAACTGGTAGCATAGAAATGGAAATATAAATAAATAAATAATTTTAGGAAGAGAATTTATTTCCATTCACTTCTATGTGAAAATACAGCATGTCACTTCCATGTGTTTCCTTATTTATTAATCAAGGTCCCTTTTTTTTTTTTTTGCAGCTCATTCTGATTTTCCTAAAAGTTCAGCATTCTGCAGTGAGCAGATGATGTGTGAAGTGCCTGCCTGTGTGCTGAAATTAAACAAGGTGGTTTCAAATCACAAACTCTGGGCTGTATTTATCATCACCTTTAAGTTCATGTCCTTTATTTCCATCATGTACTATTGGAGAATCACTCAGTATGTTAATGACAAGAGACAACACTACAGTCTGCCTGTAGAGGTTAAGTGTCCTCCTTCTCCTCCCACCCTGATTTCTGGATGGTCTTCTACATTACCAAAGGACATATACTTCCTGGAAACATCTGAACGAACAAACCCCAACTTTCTGTTTATGTGCTCTGTTGAATCAGCAGCCAGGATCCATCCGGAGTCTAGAATTGTGGTCCTTATGAAGGGATTGGCAAAATACAATAATACTTTGCCCAAACATTTGGGCATCTCCTTGCTCAACTGCTTCCGTAACCTTGAATTCAAAAAGTTGGATCTGATCAACCTATTCTCGGACACTCCCCTGGCTGACTGGTATTCTCAGGCTCAGCAAAGGTGGGAACCATATTTCCTCCCCATCCTTTCAGATGCCTGCCGAATAGCCATTATGTGGAAATTTGGTGGTATCTACTTAGACACAGACTTTATCATCCTCAAGAACTTGAATAACCTCACAAATACACTTGGTATGCAATCAAAATATGTACTCAACGGGGCCTTTCTCTCATTTGTGCCCAAACACAACTTTATAGAGCTTTGCATGCAGGATTTTGTGGCTAATTACAACCGCTGGATTTGGGGCCACCAGGGCCCACAGCTCTTCACCCGGATATTTAAGAAGTGGTGTTCCATCCATAGCCTCCAGAGCAGCAAAAGCTGCCGGGGAGTCACAGTCCTGCCACAAGAAGCCTTTTATCCTATCCGTTGGCAGGATTGGAAAAAGTATTTTGAAGCAGTGGAGGCTTCAGAGCTTCCCAAGCATTTTAAAAACACCTATGCAGTGCATGTGTGGAATAAGAAAAGTCAAGGCACCCAATTTGAGGTCACCTCTAAGGCTTTATTAGCTCAACTGCATTACCGCTACTGCCCTTCTACATACAGTCTAATGAAGATCTATCAGATCTAGCAGCTACCTGCTCATGGATACAGTTGAATGTCAACCAAAGTATTCAGCCATGGGGAGCTAATATCATTCTTACCTAGAAGCAACAGCACCTATCACTAAGCTGATGACTTGCCAATTCAACATTTCAAAAAGCAGATGAATGGTGATGAGTTATACCAGGCTGGGCTGTTCCACTAAAGAATACTATGAGGATCAACCAACATTTGTAATGTTCTGTTCATCATCATTAGCCTGGATGTAAAAGAAAACAAATCACTTTGAAAGGGCAAAAAGGGGATTGGGAGAGTGTGCGGTTACAGAACCATGTTTGCCATCTTTTCTCTGGTGTTAAAATGGTAATAGACTCCTTCAGTCGAAATAACATGCCATTTACTCATATTTTAATGATCATGTCAGAAACTTTTCCTGCTTCTGTTAATGTGTCTTACTACTAGTGATGTCATGGAAGTTTGCCTTTACTTGGTTTCTTATATGAACTTGACGAATGAGTAATGCTTCGCCACGTTGTGCATTTAGTGATTCATAATGTGGCAAAGCAGAAGTCCCCAGAAGTTCTTCTTATGCTTGGAACATCATCTAACTGCCCCACCTGGGGATTTCTTTCTTTCTTTCTTTCTTTCTTTCTTTCTTTCTTTCTTTCTTTCTTTCTTTCTTTCTTTCTTTCTTTCTTTCTTTCTTCAAATCTTGGATCCTCCTAGCATGATCATATTCAGCAGACATAGGTGCCCCGGGACGTGTAGTTTCCAGTGTGCCTGATGTTCAGGCACTGTTGAATTCTACGTTTTCAGGGTGCCTGGGATTGAGGTCCTTTCCATGGCAAGGTGTTCAGGAGAGAGGGAGAAACAGAGGCATTACACAGGGCAAGGCGGCATGGCTGCCAGGAAAGGGGCCAGTGAGGGCTAGGAATGTGACAGGCTCCTCATTTTGGATTTGAGCTTTAAAAAGAAAGTTCTCAGAAAACAGTCTGACTCACTGATTCCAGTTTTGAATTAAGCTAGACTACCTATACTTATTCACAAGCTACATTCACAAGGTTTAACTGCTTTAACTGGCATTATACTGCAGGAGAGAGTAACACAGAAACATAGAAACAGAGTGAGTCAAGGGGTCTCCTGGGCCATCTAGTCTGACCCCTGGCTCCATCCAGTTCCAGACCAGGCTACCAGGATGTGGACCATATTCCCCTCTGAATAGGTTCCAGTGGAGTCCCATAATGATACGATGGCATTTTCAGATGACTATGAATGCAGTCTTTTTTGTGTTTTCCCTGCATTCATTTAACCATGATTTCCTTTATTGTCCTCTCTCAGGTAAAATTGACACAGCCAGGGAAAGCTTTCTTAGTTTTATCTGTGCCATCTTCTTGGGAGGAAAATGTGAAAGCATAATTACAAGCACCAGCATTGATGCACACTGCTTACAGTATGCCTTTTTGGGAAAAGAAGAAAACAAAAGAAAACAAAAGATAGGGCCAGTAAAAATGAACAAGGCTTTTTTTTCATATGTGTCAATTTCACCAGAGATGGGAAGGAGGAAAAGGCAAAGAAAATGAAAATTTTGTCAAATTGGCAAGATTCCTCTTCTCTCAACTGAATAAAGTTGAAAGAGAAGGGAGCGTAATAGTTAATAATAACTGAAGGTACATCTCCATAGAGGGAGCACATAAAATGTAAAAAGAGAGATAAATAGACTAGTCTCAAGTATGTACAGACCCAAACCCAGCAAGAGTGGACAAAGCCATGGATTGTGTATAGAACAGGGGTCCTCAAACATTTTCAACAGGGCGCCAGTTGAAAGGTGCTGGCAGTGGGTGCAGCCTCCATTGGGTCCTTCCATGCTGGTGCCGGAGGTCACACTAGATGGCCCGGGAGGCCCCTTCTGACTCACTCTGTTTCTATGTTTCTATTGCATCTGGAGGCTGGGCTCAGCATCCTCCCCAGCATGACTCTTTCCCTGCTCTCCAAGGCCCAGTTGCATCCTGAGAGAGGCAGGTGGTATAGCTCTTTCCCTGTTGGACTTCTGCCTTTGACATTCCAGTCCAAAGTTTCAAGGGCTTGGTGCAGCAACTCCATATAATCCTATGACACCCCCCCTCCCCCAATACATTGGGAGTCCACAGGATTGTACCTTTAACCATAGAATCATAGAATAGTGGAGTTGGAAGGGGCCAAGAAGGCCATGGAAGCAAACCCTCTGCGCAGGGCAGGACTCCAAGTTAAACCATTGCCTTCTTCTATAATAAGAGAAATGATGCATCCCACAGAGGGAAAACATGGAATTTTTACAAGTGGAAGACTGCTTGGGAGGGTTTGCACTGCACTGCAGGTAAAATTCCCCTGTGCTGGACAGAAGATCAGGCCCAGCAGCAGTGGCAGGCTGTCTCCCTCCCCTCCCTTTGCCCCCTGGGTAAAAGGCATGCTTGAAATTGCTGATTTCTGAATTAATGCCAACTATTGCCTTTCCCAGATAAACTGTGTTGGACGAATAGAGCACTGAGCCAATGAGTATTCTGGCTGTTTTCTACTTTCACATGTTTTCAAAGAGAAAAATAAATATTGTTTTGTACCTTTAATTTTCTATTTGTGTTCAAAAGTTTCTTTTCTGCTGGGAGGAAAATCAGGAGCAAATGGAAACTAGAAAAAAATGACGCAGAGTCCTGCCTACCCCTGTTTTTGCTCCAGGCAGGTAACGATGAGGCTGGTGGGGTGTGTTTTGTTTGTGACGGGGGAGGGGGTTGCATGTTGTACAAATCAGTGCTCAAGGCTAACATCAGAAGATTGCAGACTACAGTCTGAGAACTGTAGACTGAAAGAGGAGCTTTCTTCAGGCAAACTGTTTCAAATATATAGAAGTGGGGGAAAAATTCTGAATGAGGAAATGCACTAAGCATTTGCCAGTAGATTGAGATGGTAATAATGGAGGAAACCTTTGGACGCTTGATTAGATTAAGCCTAACCCTTGAGCAAAGATCTCCTGTTGCAAAAGGACAAGGAAGCTATGAGAGGTCCCCTTTGAAATACCACACCCACTGCAGTTACTGTCTCCATCTCTGGCACAGGTTCCTTATGAGACAGAGAATACAACTAGAGGACAAGATAGTCCTTCTGTAAAAACACTTGTGTATACTAAACATGTGTATTTACTCATGAACAAAAATAGCCGTACTGGTTTACAAAATCAGATCCATAGACTGGCAACATCATGTCATGAATCCATGTGCTTCTGCTCTGTGTCAGCACAGCATTTTTCCCAAGGCAAGTGTTGCAATTTGTTTGTTTAAAGCTTTTATATCCTGCCCTTCACAATGTCTCAGGGCACTGATACAATAAAATAAATAGCATACAGCATCAACAGTTGAGCTGTTGTTACAATTATGTGTTGTCAAGTCATCTCCGACTTGTGGTGACTCATGTCTTCCATTTCTTCTGCCACTTTCGCCAGCATGATTGCCTTCTCCAGGGAGTCTTGCCTTCTCCTGATGTGCCCGAAGTATGACAGCCTCAGTTTGTTACGCCTTTTGCTTCCAGGGAAAGTTGTGGTTTGATTTAATCTAGTACCCACTTGTTTGTCTTTTTGGTGGTTCAGGGTATTTGCAAAGCCCACAATTCACAATTTTCTTCCCAGCAGCTTTCCTCACTGTGCAGAATTGAGCTACAGTAGGCCATAATATTATCAGAAAAGGACAGCAACCATACCTTCTCTTTCCCATATGCATTGTTGGATATACATGCTGGTATACCTACCGATGCCTAATTCAGCCTTCCCCAACCTGCTCTTGGAACTTCCAGATGTTTTGGATTACAAAAGCCATAATTCCTGAACATGCTGGCTAGGGCAGATGCAAGTTGAAGTTCAAAATATCTGGAGGAGGTTGAAGAAGATAGACTAATTCATTCTGTTTGCAAATCTTACTTTTGAGGCAGCATATAAAAATGTAAACTGCACAGCCACAATAATGGCTGTGTGGGGGAACTTATTGGCCAGTGTTGAGGATCTTACAATTTCTTTCCCAGTCCACTGAAACAGCTACAATTTCTTCCCCTTAGTTGATTCCTTTTGGTGTAGCAGCAGCCTCTTTCCCTGCCCTTCCCCAGCTCTATGGCCATCCAGATAAATATCATGGCATGAGGCGCCATGGTGGCACAGTTTGCCACCACTGTGCTGTATTGAGGGCATGGAGGCTTCTGTGCGTCAAGGGCAGGCTGATAGGCTGGCTCCCTAACCATATCCTGCCTTTTCAGATGCCTGGGGTGGCTGCCTCATTCTACCCTCTGGTAGGACTGGCCCTGTGTATTGCTGTAAATGAATTTACAGCTTCATTTCCTCCACTCCTCAGAGACCACAACACTGTAGGACAGCTTTACTGAAACTACGTGGAGGCTTCTGGGGTCATTTATTTATTTAGAATATGCAAGTGGCAAGCACTGTCATTGTTGGCTCTCTCTCAGTGTTGAGGAAGAACCAAGAACTGGGAACAGGTTCACAAGGGCTGGCTTTTCTGGATAGCTAAGAGAGGAAGCCCCTGGGGCTGGAGCAGACAAAGGCAGGAACTCATGTCTAAGCGGCATGCCGACACCTTTGAAAGTGTAGATGCTAAGGAAACCAGGGAAGGAGAGATAGGCCAGCTGAGCTCTGCTTCAGGCAGCGAACTGCATTGACCTTGCACTGGGGGGGGAGGGGGGATCAAAAGTCCAGAATCAAGCACTGCAAAGAAACTTAACCAAGCCCCAACCTGACCTGGAAGCTTTTCTAGTCTGTGCAAAGAGAACAAACAGTAGTGCTAAGTGGACAGAGTTACAGCCTTCTCCACCCTGGTGCTCTCCATATGTTGTTGACTACAACACCCACCATCCCCTGCAAATGTGGCCAAGGAATTGTTAGAAATCCTGGGAACTGTAGTCCAAAGTATCTGCAGGGCAGCCAGGCTGGGAAGGCCATTCTAGGGCACCTTGCTAAGAACAAGCTGACCTGTAGTGCTAGTGCCTCACCACAGGGGGCAGCAGTGTACTTCGCAAGTGATGGATCGCAGTTACTGCCTCAGCACACTCTCTAGACCCGAAGCAGCTCAAAATTGTACAAGGCCAGCCAGAAAAACATTAGCAATTCTTGCAGCACTGACCAAATGGACATCTCTACAGATCAGTTCAATAAAGAGAAGCAAAAGTCTAAATAGAGAGCCCTTGAGCTAATAATGTGGAATATGAACGAACAAACAGACAGACAGACGCTTGTAGCCATATCATGGCTACACCATGGCCTATAACAGCACTTTTGGTTTGGGATAATTAATATTCACCTTCTGTGATTCTGCTGCTGTGATGGATTGGTTGGATGTTGTGGAGAATATTGTATTTAGTATCGCCACTCCCCACTTCTGCTTCTGCCATGCTTTTCTCTCCACCGATGCTACACTTGAACAAGGCCTTGCATGAATGCTGGTGCAATGGTGTAGCAGACCTACCCAGCTGCATCTTTCTGAGCATCCCAGTGGAAACACATTCCTTGTGCAAGAGCACAGCTTACCAAGCAGTACTATAATTCAGATCCTTGCATGGGGACCATCCCTCCTGTTACTTTGACATCCCAGGAGTCCAAT